GGAGGTGATGTTTGTAGGGAGGAGAAAGGAAATAACAGAGAGGCCAGGAAGCCAGGTGAATTGTGCAGATGGCAACAAATTGGGAGTGTAGAAGAATTTCTCCCAGGACGAAAATCCTGTAAATCAATACTGACTTCTTTATTGAATTAATATTGGAGGGAAATATAGCAGAGCAGTGGAATCTAAAGACTCTAGAGCCAAAAGGCCTGGACTTGAAACAGAGTTACTTAACATCCTTGTGCATTAGGTTCTCTGTCAGTAAAATGAGGAAAATAATGCTATTTCTGCATAAGGCTATTGTGAGAATAAAATGATTTAATATTGGCTAAGGTCTTAAAACATTTCCCAACATACAATAATTGCTATATGTACTAGCTGGCTAGTATCTTGTTGGTTTTGCAGCTGTTTTTGATTTTTAAAATTATTATCATTTTATTATAGCTTTCAAAAAATATTGTAAAACAGGATAAAGAAATTGATGAGGTTAGGAAAGTGAACTATTCTAAGACAAAAGAAATGAAATAATGTTTTAGCATTCTAGCTTAACAGAAAGATGAATGGAATTAAAGACAAGTATGTAGACTATTTGGTGAGCACATCCAGAGAAAGACGACAACAGCATTTGAAAAAAGACAGACACACAAAATTACAGATAAGGAAGAATTTCTTATCTCTAAGAAAATTTGTGATGCTCTTCACCCCAGGGAGGCTCCAGATTGGAGAAATGGATCTGAGATTCACTGAGGGGCTACCATGCACTAAGACGGGGTCCTACATAGATATTATCTCACTGAGCCTTCACTTTAGTATTATTTCTAGTGTCCAGAGGTATAAAGGAATAATAGAGTGGTTACAGAGTTTGTCACAAAGTTAGAATGCAATAGACGAACTGTTTGAACCAAAATCTATCAGACTGGAAGTCTTGTTTTGTTTTTGTTTTTTTTTTCCCCACGATTATATGTATGTTTGTGCATTTCTGAAATCAATTTTAGGGGAAAATATTGCTTATTCCTAAAGAACATTCCTAATTCCTGAAGAGCATTCCTAATTCCTAAAGAATTCTGCCTGGAATTTTTACCTTGTATTTATATATTCTTAGAATATTCAATAAATATCCACCGAATGAGAGAATCAATGAATGAATGAATGAATGAATGATGTTAGAATCCGTTCCAGGTCCTGCTTTTCAAATTGAACATGAAATGCTAAAATAACATTTTGTTTCCACATTAGGATTTCCTGGGGTTTGCTCTATGCTAGTTTCATCTTCCTTATGGCTCTTTTCTTGGCACTTGTTATAAAATCAACCCAGTTTATCATTCTGACGGGCTTCATGGTGGTCTTCGCCCTCTTTCTCCTCTATGGATTGTCTTTGGTGAGTTGGTGAATTTAATGTCTCCCAGTCCACCTGACAGCCTAAAAATTAATTAAGTGATTACATACCTCTCCCCTTTTTTTCCATCTGCTCTGTTTACATGTAAAAATCTATGGACAGGTACCATTTGATTTGTGGTGTTTTGTGATGCCAATTTTTAA